GACTATATTCCACTTGAACGAGACGGAAGGAACTCAACACCCAGTCCATTTCATTATCCATGGAAGAAAGCAGCATCTGCAAAAGCGTGCCTGCTGTACATGTACACTAGTGGCCATGGTAACTCGTGCTAATGCCCACATTTGCTACGCTTAAAAAGCACAGCTGGTGCCAGATGATGGTAACAAAACAACTTAAACAGTACACAGGACGTGCGAATATTAATGCACTAACCATTGTTCTCCTTCTCACATTCAGGGCACATTCCAGTTGAATCGAAACTGAGAGTCCAGAGCTGGAGAGCAATTGAGTAAACCGAACGTTAGTGAAGGCTCTCTGAACTCCAGGGTGGGTTTCACTTTTACATCATTGTCTAATTCAAATAAATGAAATTTCTAGCTCGACCTGCAGCGGTGAGAGAGGAGATCTGACGACATCCGGCATGGGCTACGCCTCATACTCCCAGTTGAATTATTTGGTGGAGGGCCGCGCGAACGCGAGCCCCGCGCTGCCACAAATTATGACGTGCATTTTCCCCTTGAGGAAATGCTAAGACTCGCCAAGCCGTGGTGCAATGGGTCAGCAGATCTTAGGTCATCGCCCCGCTGGATCAACGATAGGCCCCGCCCAGGTAAGTATGCTCTACCCTAGTCAGACCTGGACTTCATGGTTCCCAAGATGTCAGTTTATGCTCATGATTTATGGTTTCTATCGAATCCGGTAACATCCACAGTGCTCATCTTGGGCTTAAAACTCATGGTCGCAAAATTGGAAATCAAAATCTCACATTGTCTCCGGAATTTGGAGCTCCAAATATATTATAAAACATAAATATGCATTTACCAAGTAACTCTCAACACATCTAAACCTAGTAAACCGTTTACTCGTCGCTAGCTGCCGTAGCAGTCAGGAGTAGAAGCATACAGCGCTCTACCTATAGCTTGAACCCGCTGCTTCCAAATCCAAGTTTCTTCTTGTGGGTGGTAATTCATAAGAGTTTGGAGATACGAGTTCTCTTCATGACAATATACAGAGTTAAGAAATTTATTTTTTGTAAACCTGTGTATTGAAAAAACATCATTAGATTAACTCTGATAATCTAATGATGTTTGATGATAAACGATTGATAATGCAGCGGAAAATTCAGGACTTGCTTGTGCATAGCCAGAATCTGATTAAGCCAAGGGTAAAAATTTTATATATTTTGGATGAACTAAGAAACAGGAGACAGATGCACAATCAGAGATCAATACGCTGCAGGACAAGTGGCAATGCTGAAGTTATATTGGGAGATTGAAAACGGAAACGGCCAAAGACAACAGAGTTTAAAGCATCGAGCTCCAGTGAGTTTGCCAAGGCCTCGAAGTCACCGAGTTGTTACTTGGTTCTCAAGTCGCTTGACGAATCTCGGTCTGCTTATATTCTGTGTTCAGCGAACTTGAATGTTTTGAATATCATAACTTTGTATGGACCGTATACAGGTTCAAAATTTGAACAAATTACACATATATATCTATATATATATATTAATTATAGTTATTGAGAGTCTCAGATAATTCGTGAACAATTCATCCTCATGAATCAACTGAAGGCAAAATAGCTCTTTCTATTTTCCTTCGCCTCCGGAGTGGGACTTTCCTTTTGGGTTAGGATAGCCTATTCATTGTACTCTTGTCGATGACGTTTTCATCCCGTTTGTTATTCCATGTGTCACCGAGATTGTTATGTATATCATATATCTTTCGGCACTCTGTATACGGATGATATGTACGCTTGATGGCTTGTAGCTTTCAGTAGACTATACTTCCAATTCCAACAGTAATATTTTTCTTCAACAAAGCTTCGATCGGCCCAGGTTATGAACATAACCGCTGAGCTCTCGTACCAACCGACGTAATGCAGTTGAGGGGATCATACAATGATGCTCGAGGTCTGTACTCCTAGTATCATGGCTGTGTCTGTGGCTTGTTATAAACGCTGATTCCAAATCGATGAAGCCATGATCCAAGACACTGATTCCAGTGCGAATGCAGGTGACCACCTGCAGAGTAGCTTGTGATGTCAGTCTGAAAGCGACTGAAAGCAAGAAAGTATCTCAGATCAGTCTTGTGATTTAAAGACTTTGTGTCGTTACTGGTTAGATTTGGAATCTCAACTCCCAAATTCAAAACAGACGATGGTGAAGCACTACGCTACGTAACCAGTCATATCCATCCTTTTTCTCTTTCAAATTGTCAGCAGGTGAATATTAGATGTTTGACTGAAGATAACCCACGTATCCAACCTCTCTCTCTATATATATATATTTGTGAGATATATATATATATATATCTCACAAATCAGCTCGCAGTTAGATACATTTCTAACTAGGCGATACATCGCTAAGGCTTGAACGGACCAAAATTCAATCGTTTAAACTCATGGTTGAAATTTCAAATATATAACTGGGTTGACATCAAATATCAAAATATCTTTTGAATTCTTGGTGCGTTCCTTAAACTTCTACCATAATTTTCCGTTTATAGAACGCTGCAAGTTATATTACTGGTTTAGATGGTGCACACTTGCTACACATCAAAACGCATCTGAAGGGATCATCTTGACCAGAATATGCAGTCTGACTTTAGCGCAATGTACTGTCAAAGCGAAGAGTTGGAGGCTCACTGGCGAGGTGGAAACCATGCTGTCGCACAAGCTGACCAAGGGAAACAAAGATTGAGAAAGTTCTAAGTGTTTCGCAAGTGGTGCTGCACTTGGTGTGTGTTATTGAGCCATCGCAGGAGACCATCTCCGATAAAACGCTGCATTTTACGAAACCAGATCAGATAACGCCAGACATAAATATCTCTTCATGTAATTTGCGTGCACACGCCCTTACACCTTCCGACTCCTTTCAGATTGATCAGAGAATTTTCTCGGGTTTCCAGTTGATAACGTGCTTTTTGATCTTCCAATACTAGATCCAGACTGATTCCATTTGACTCAGACTTGCCAGCCATTCAAGTCATTATTCCATTCGATTTCTTCAATCATAGAAAGAATCCGTACACTGAGTGAAGTTGTTCGTTTCATTTTGTAATAGTGATAGAAACATACTCCTGAATTGATCCTTTCCCGGTTTTTCCAGTCAATTTCGCGGTGCCAGCGGACAATATCTACGTTTGTCAAATTCAATAATAAATTTGTACTCTCTTATTCACAGAAACCTGTACAATGGGGAGACGTGTATCAGAAGAGTCTGCTGTTACAGTTGTTGATCAAGGTGTGTTCTGGCCAAGAGCTTGGGAAGACGAGCTACTTCTGTTCCTAACGTATCTGAGATTCGTTCTCCTGGCTTTGGACATTTTCTTATGGTACTTCCACACAAACGCTGGCAAAGGCTCATGGCCACCCAACGTGGTCAAGTACTCCAGGAGGTTCTTGGCACTGCTCTTCTGTTTAATGATCTTCGACCTGGGGATGTTTTGGCTCGATGTTTGGAGAGGTTACATGATGTTCTCCTTATATATGTCTACAGTTTCAGTGACTGTCTTCATGGGCTTTTTGTGGTTCTACATCATGAAGGTGACAACCGCATAGATAGAAGATCTTACAAGTCCGCTCGAGAACTATAAAAAAAAGCTGAAAATTTTGTTCTCCAAGGGAGCATATTGTCATGAGGTAAGGACCACAGCTGTCCTGTAGATGTGAGGTACGCTTGTCCGCCTTTACATTTCAGACTTTAGGACGTTGGACTTATGGGGTTGACAGCAATATGGGAGACATAGCAGCCACTACCCTGACTCGGAGATTTATGACCGTCATGAGCTCATGGACTTCTAGACGCAAAGACGACAGATATCTCACGGCACAGAGCTGACTGACTTGATAAAATTTTTACACATGAAGATGTGGGTGAGGTTCAAAATTAGTATATATACATATATATACGCAGATGCTTTTAGTCTATAGTATAACCACATCAATCGGTAGGCAAAGGTGGAACGTTACAAAGTTCAGTATCAAGTAAAAGATGGACGGTGAGAACCCTGCTCTGTCACCAAGCTTCTTGTGTACTAACTGGCTAACTCTCTTAAAGTTTCACGCTTTTATTCTCTTGTATCGGTGATCCATGTTTGAAAAACTCTCTCCTATCCCGTTTAGTGGTCTGCTGTCTATTGTCTCAGATAGAGTTTTCGATCTCTGCGAAATTATTGTAGAATAGATGAAGTGGTTGGTAAGTCTCACACCATACTGTACTCGATATTGTGCTAGTTCAGTGGTCTGGTGCAATGGAAACGTGATCAGTGATACTCTCATTCTTCAAGCTTGTGCTTCCAATAGCATACTCCTCAGTCTTACGTGTTGGTGTCATTTGGTTGCATACATTCTAGTCTCTCTTAATAGAAAGAGGTTGGAACTCCCCTAGTACATAGATCCATCTGTATTATTATACAACGTTGCCTCTCTCGTCCTCTCCTGTTTCTCAACTGCATGTGTTACAGTAGTGGCATTGTTTCAAATATTGATACCTGAAAGAAAGGACAACTGTGACACTGTATGTGTTTTTGTAACAACAGACTTTTTGAGTTTCTTAGTTTAACTTTCAGTATAACAATGTGTTTGTGACCCACTTGGCTATACACACTCAAGACTACAATTTCATTCTCTTGTCATGACTTGCTTTGCCAGTAAACAACACTCAGTCTGATAAAGGAAAGATCTTTGGTATCAATAGATACAACTAAGTCTCAATTAATGTGCTAGTTAGTTGCCTCCCTTGAGTATGCTATTTTATCTTTTAATGAATCCGATTTCGCTTGGTGTCATTCATGTCTGTAAATTACTGATTGAGGAATCAATAGATACAACTAAGTCTCAATTAATATGCTAGTTAGTTCCCTTCCCTGAAGATGCCACTGTATCTTTTAATCAATCTGATTTCGCTAGGTGTCTGTCATTCATGTCTGGTAGATTACTGATTGAGAGGATTAAATAATTGCAAAACTTATGTCTTGATACATTCCGACCTGCCGGATTCGAACCAGCGACCTAGAGATGCCTGAGTCAACGCCTACAGTCTCCCGCTCTACCAACTGAGCTAAGGTCGGTGGACATTCATATCAGTTCATGTGGATACAAAATAAATATACTTGTCTCATCCTAGTGATTCCACATTACCATTAGAGATGTGGTATTTCCTATGTCACGGTAGTATGACTTGCAGGGGATTGTGTTTAGGGACTCTGAATAGGGTATAGGGACACATTAGACATTGTAGTTACATATACTACACATGATAGTGGCAGCATGCAAGAAGTCATCTCTTTTTCGCTTTAGGTTTCCAATTATATGGAACTATGGACGTTGACTTCCACACATACTGGAAAGAGTGTGAGAGAGCGTGCCATATTATGCAATAGGGGTATATTCTCTTTAGTATATTATATAACATATTTTAGTCAACATATATCCATTTCTCTATATATAACACTAGTAGGTGCAATTTATTGGAGAGAATCACGTGATGCTTCTTATTGGAATGTTGTATAGTATGTAGACCTAGATAACACGGAGCTAGCCCCATGTTACCCCCTTTGGATTCATCCCTATAACGCTAGATGGGTATTCCGATACTTTTTTCTATGTTACTTGGTGTCCACTTTCAGGTCTTTACCATCTTTTTCTTAGTTTATCTTGACGGTGTATTTGGTGTAAATTGTCTTCTGCTTAATCGCCAGATGAAGTTATCGTCCACGGTATCAATAGAAATCAACGACTGTATCAAGTTTCATAACAAAAATGAAAACAAAATTATCAACTTAAAGCACAAAAATCACCGTAGGAAGGTGACAACTCAACAGAAGCTAAATTTCAAGCACACTTGAAGCTTCCGCAATCTCTTCTGAGCCAAGGATTTTTTACGTGAAGGCTCTGTGAAGGACACCTCTGTGTGAAAAACGATTGAAGAGCTGAGGAATCGAATCGAGAGTTTGAACATCAGCGTTCAAGCGGTCTTCCTCCCATGTTCGTCATCTCTCCGCCTATTCCTGCAGTGTCTTGGTAACAATGAAAAAAAATAAAATATGACCCATACGCTTCGGGTACCAAGAAACAAAAATTGAGGTTCAAGTCCCTGGACTGAACTCTCAGGTCCATACTTACCTGGGCGGGGCCTATTGCTGCTCCTTAAGGGCAAAGACCTATGACGCGTGCCACCATTGCACATCGGTCGTATGAGTTGTAGCACTTCCCCAATGGGGAAATGCACGTCATAATTTGTGGCAGCTGAGGGCTCGCGTTCGCGCGGCCCTCGTCCAATGAATAGAATCAGGAATTTTATTCTCTGTGTTAGATACTGAAGACTTCAATTGAAGCTTTGTGATCTGTATTCCAAAGGAATGTTATTAATGATGGAAACCAAGGATGTGGAACACGAAGATAAAAGAACTTCGCCTCATTTTGAAACTGGCGAGATGAAGTCTTCTTGGACCTGATATGGCAATCTACACCGAAGCGCAAGTATCGAGTTTTCTGAAGGGAAAATGTTATTCAGTTTCCTACTCCACTGCAGTTCTGTAGAAAGAAGTTTTCTTGTGGAGCCGGAAAATTTGAAGCTTAAAGCGGCTCCTCTCCAAAATCCGGATCAGCCGGAAGATGATGCTGACAGGTTTCAAACCTTATGCATGGCGTCTAATTCGTACGCGCCAAACGTGGTCTCGTTGTGTGCGGGAACGGTTTCGTCCCCAATCGGCTTTCAAGATTGTGAGAGATCATGAAAAATTTGAAATTCAGTTTTGAATTTGAAGTTGAATTTCGTGAAACTCGAGATATACGGAGGTTTTCTGATGTCTTTAACCTTCTTTAGGAGCTTTTGGTATACGGCAATTCTTCGAAGGGTTTAGGATTGGGGTTAGTTCGATCAGGATCAGATACATCAGTCCTGATTACAATGCCCTGAGTGGTGGTTCGAAACTCAGTTTCTGAAAATCTGCTCCTCAATGTACACTTCGTAGATCATGCCTAAGTTCTGATGCAAAGGATCGGTCAGGGATACATGGATGATCTATAGATGAGATTCTGCTAAGGTTTGAAAACAGGACCTATGTGGTACTCGTGTGCGTTTCCAGTATACACTAGCCACTTTCATACCGCTCTGAGACTCTTATTTTATTGTCACATTCTTTTTGCTCCTCTGTTCTTACTTCTCAACTGGTTATGTCTTTCGCTTTGCTTCTCTCCGTATCGTCTGATCGGTGTAGTGAAAGTTTCCCGCATGTTGGATCGAAACCAGGGTTTGATGTTCCTTCTCGTTTGACTACTCAAATCATTTTTCTGCTCTCGATGTTTCTTAGGCAAATCTTCTTCATCGTACCATTGTGGCTCGTGGGTTTCTCGGGTCACTCTTTCTTTGGTCGGTTTGATTGAGTGTGCCATGGATGTAAAGATGTGGATGGTGGTTCTCATTTCCAAAATGAGAACCACCGTAATCAGCTTCTCCGCATCCACATCTTTAGTTTTGGAACCCAATCTTGAGTTTTGGAACATGTGTTTCTATGTTTTCTCTAGGCACTCACTCCACCACCGTTGGCTTCTCCCATACTTCTCTCCTCTCTTTGGAGAATGACCTTGTCCTATCCCATCTCTCTTAGTCTTGGCATGAAGCTTGAGATATGCATGAACAACTAGGAAGAGAATCATTATGTACATATAGCAATATGTACATAATGATTGCCTCAATAACCCCCTTTTCCAAGAAGTATATCCTATAAGGTTCTATGAAATCTTCTTCTTTATTGGTTCTTCATATGGCCTCATATTCATATGTTGAAACATATGAATATGCATCATATTTATCATCAGTCCCTTGAACCGAGGATAGTGTTGTTTCATGTTGGAAAGATGGTAAGGAAGTGCTTCGTTGTCAAATTGTTATGGAATATACTTTGAGATTACGAATGAAATCATCATCTCAATGTTTCCAATCTGACCGCATCAATTGCATGTAACTAGTTGAACTTACAATCTAACTTTATTGTAAACTTGAAACACTAAACCTCAATTCATGATGTTACAAACTCACAACATGAGAACTCATGAAAGTTCTTTTATCTCAAAGAGTTGACGTCGAGTTCACCAGTTATGTTGCATGGACATTGCTTTGCTATAAAAACACATTAGCATCAAGTTGTAGAAGAACGATCCTCGTTTGAGATGCTATTCTCTCTTTCTTCTCCTTACAAATTCATATTCGAGTTTATTGCAACGGGTAAAATTTTCGCACAAGAAGATCATGATATTTAGCAATTGGGTCATTGATCTTAGCCAAACTTCAAAGATAATTGCTTAACAACCTTGTTGTGTTCTTAGACAAATTCATTATGTTTCTCTTCTCCAAATTTCTAAAAATAATTTTCTAATCATAAATAACATCACAAAGTGATATGCATAAATTTGTGTACTAAAACTGTCACACATCTTAATCCTTTATTCTAATTTCTTTGAAATTTCACGAGAATATCTTTTATCATCCAAGTTTGAATTCTAGAAAATTTTATTAATGAAAACTTTTGATAGCAAAAATTATTATTATTGTACTAACTTTATGAAAGTCTATGCAATCCTACAACTACACACTTCAAGCTTCACAAATTATACACAAACTTCAAGCTATATTTCTATATTCAAAACTGATATGATTCAGTTGAAATTTCAATTCAAACACGAGCTTGAATTGTAAACTATGTGTCAAATGAATCAAATATCTCAAAATCCTTGTAAGTTTTTCAAAATAAACTCAAATCAATTCTAGAATTTGAATTTCACTCAACAATTTCAAATCATCATAATACATTGATAACTCACTTAATTGCATCCATTGTTAAACTTATCTCATAACTCTCGTTATCATATTTCCAATCATCTCCCCAAATTTACAAATAGTCTTTGATAAGGTTTCCAAAACTACTCAAAATCTTGGATGATTTCACCTAAGTGCTCTCATTGAATCAAACTTCACAACCAATGAAAATGAAGAGTGATTTTTTTAAGCTTTAGTATAACCAAATTAGCTTCATATTAACTTAGAGTTTTATCACTAATCTAAACATAACACTTAGCCATCAAATAAATAATATAAGCTGTAATCAATAAAGAGTAAAAATAATAACTTGAAATTGGTTAAGTATGAACAGAACCGGGAAGTTTATAACTTGAGAATAATACTTCTTACCAAAAATCATAACAATCAACTTCATACAACTTTCTTTTGGTAAAAAATAGTGATAGATTGAAACCCACATATTGAAAGCCATAATTGTTAGCTAGTTTATATCTATAACGCTTAAACTAAATCCAAACATATATTGTAAGCTCCCAAATCGTGTTATAGAAAATAACTAGAAGAATTTATCACTTGTTGCATGAAGTTATTTCCAAAATAATATATAAATCACGTCTAAAAGTGATCATAATTACTAATGGATTGGATATAAGTACATCTAGAGGATCATTTTATATTCTATCCATGTCTCACATTGGTTCGACTTTGATCAAATAAGTTACTTAGTCAACAAAGCGATGTTCTATATCTCTTACTTCTTCTTTGGACAGTCACTAGATTTTATATTTGATAATGTCCAAGATAATATTTCTCAAAATCTTATCAATATCATCACATCACAAAATCAATCCAACCAACCGTGGGTTCTTAACAACATTATAATGGGCATTTGGTTATACTGATCTAAAGTATCATTATAATGATTTTGAAGATGACACATATCATTATCTTCTCATAGCACAAACATCACAACACAATAACGATAATGACACATGGTCCTCCATCCTATATCTACTCACACATGCGAAACCTCACAACCCCTCACACCCCATTTCATATGAAAAAATGCTAACTATAAAAAATCCTAAAATCTAAAATCATTTATAACTTTTTGTTCCGATATCCATAATTTTGCAACTATGTTCCAATAGAACCAAAACATGAAAAGAAAAAGATTGAAATAAAAAAATCCAACCCATATGTTGGATTTGAGAAAAATCATTCAAAATCTAAAATTATATAAAATTCAGTAATATCTCTCTATACAATT